TAGCAGCCTTCCAGTACTTAAAGGGGTCCTAAAAGAAAGGTGGGGAGGGACTCTTTGTCAGGAAATGTAGCGACAAGGGGTAATAGCTTTAAGGTAAACAAGATAAGATTAAAATTAGACATTAGGAAGAAATCCTTCACAATGAGGGCAGTGAGGCCCTGTCCCAGGCTGCCCAGAGGAGCTGTGGCTGCCCCATCCCTGGCAGTGTCCAAGGCCAGGCTGGATGGGGCTGGGGGCAGCCTGGGCTGCTGGGAGGGGGCCCTGCACATGGCAGGGGGTGGCACGGGTTGGTCCTTTGCCAACCCAAACCATTCTGACTCTGTGACTACAATTTTTAGATGATAATTAAAGGGAAGAATTACTACCTCCCTACCACCAATGTCACCACTAAGCCATGTCCCCAAGCACCACGTCCAACCTCTCCTTGAACACCCCCAGGGACGGTGACTCCACCACCTCCCTGGGCAACCCGTCCCAGTGCCTGACTGCTCTTTCTGAGCAGAAATGTCTCCTCATTGCCAACCTGAACCTCCCCTGGTGCAACTTGAGGCCATTCCCTCTGGTCCTGTCACCAGCTACCTGTGAGAAGAGGCCGACCCCCAGCTTCCCACCCCTTCCTTTCAGGCAGTTGCAGAGAGCAATGAGGTCTCCCCTGAGCCTCCTCTTCCCCAGCCCAAACACCCCCAGTTCCCTCAGCCGCTCCTCACAGGACTTGTGCCCCAGGCCCTTCACCACCTTCGTAGCCCTGCTCTGGACACACTCCAGGGCCTCGATGTCCTTCTTGTAGTGAGGGGCCCAAAGCTGAACACAGCACTCGAGGTGCAGCCTCAGCAGAGCAGAGCACAGGGGGAACTAGGACACTTCTAGGTGTCTAGACTGCTACCATACAGAGCATACAGAGAACGTATGCATCCAGTGTCCATATCTACCTGTGAAGTAGGAGAAGAGGGAAGAAGAGGAGAAATTTCTTTTATGCTGTTCAGGAACAGTAAGAGAGACCTGAATGTCCCTCTCCCTCATCCAAGGTCAAGGCTTCAACTTTATCTGTGCTTTCTAGGATTGAATTTATAAAACAGATTAATTTTGATAAAGCTGTTTTAAACAATTCTTAACCTCTATTCCTATAGATGGTATTAAACTCAATTTTCTCTTTCTTTTCTTTTCTTTTCTTTTCTTTTCTTTTCTTTTCTTTTCTTTTCTTTTCTTTTCTTTTCTTTTCTTTTCTTTTCTTTTCTTTCTTTTCTTTCTTTTTCTTTTTTCTTTTCTTTTCTTTTCTTTTCTTTTCTTCTCTCTCTTCTCTTCTCTTCTCTTCTCTTCTCTTCTTTCTTCTTCTCTCTCTCTCTTCTCTTCCCTTCCCTTCCCTTTCCTTCCCTTCCCTTCCTCCCTTCCCTTCCCTTCCTTCCCTTCCCTTCCCTTCCTTCCCTTCCCTTCCCTTCCCTTCCCTTCCTTCCCTTCCCTTCCCTTCCCTTCCCTTCCCTTCCCTTCCCTTCCCTTCCCTTCCCTTCCCCCCTTCCCTCCCCCTTCCCCCCTTCCTTCCCTTCCCTTCCCTTCCCTTCCTTCCTTCCCTTCCCTTCCCTTCCCTTCCTTCCCTTCCTTCTTCCCTTCCTTCCCTTCCCTTCCCTCCTTCCCTTCCCTTCCCTTCCCTTCCCTTCCCTTCCCTTCCCTTCCCTTCCTTCCCTTCCCTTCCCTTCCTTCCCTTCCCTTCCCTTCCTTCCCTTCCCTTCCCTTCCTTCCCTTCCCTTCCCCTTCCCTTCCTTCCCTTCCCTTCCCTTCCCTCCCTTCCTTCAGGCCCCCGTCCCGTCCCGTACCCCTTCCTTACTGCCATGCCCCTTCCCTTCCCGTCCATTCCCGGCCCTTCTCCTTCCCCTGCCCTCCCTTCCGCCTTCCCTTCCGCTTCCCGTCCCTGCCAGTCCCCCTGTCCATCCCCTTCCCTTCCCTTCCCTTCCCTTCCTTCCCTCCCCGGTCCCGTGACCTTTCCCTTCCCTTCCCTTCCCTTCCGTCCCTTCCCTTCCCTTCCCTCTTCCCTTCCCTTCCCTTCCCTTCCCTTCCCTTCCCTTCTTCCCTTCCCTTCCCTTCCTTGTTATAATTGTTCAAAAAGAACAATTCTGGTTAAGGATATTACTATATACCTAGATTGATGGATAACTTTTACCAGAAAGCTGCTTCTTCAATGAATTTCAGCATTTTAACACAGTATGCTGACCTTGTATCACTAATATCTGGTATGTTGTAGAGGATTTTCAAATTGATAGGATTCAAAATAACACATTTCTCTCATATTCTTTTGATTTGATTAGCTGAAGATCCAAAGTGGCCCAATCAATGGCACAGTTTGAGCTAAAGCTTTGGGAAAGGGAATTGTTATTAAAAATCATGTTCAAAGCACTGGTTGTTTGCATTACACTTCTTTGCCAGTATAAGCACAGTGCCTGATTTGAAATAATTGAAATATTTGCAATCTTTGAGTTGTGTGAAGAACTAAAAATACTGTGGGTATGGTGAACCCAAAGGATAGGAAGACCAGGGGAACTCATTATAGTGACAAAGAAAGTAGGCCGAGGAGAGAAATCAAGAGGAAAAATCACTGTGGCTTTCTTTCTGTGGAATGGGAATATGCAATGGCATATGAGATTAGATGTAAAGAAAGTACTCGTGTGAGATGGGGCAATTTAGCAATCACACTAGGAAAGAAGATGAAGCCAAGTAATGAACGACATCATGAAGAGAAAAGAATTCAGAGAAAAATGTGAAACAGAAACCTGAAAGATAGAGATATTTATGAAAGTAAAGAGGTGAGAATTACCCATGCTGGAAGATGAAGATGATTACAGAGGCACTGAAACCCAAAAGGAAAGAAACTTCCAGAAGCAATGGTGTTAATGAAAAGGAAAGAAAATGAAAGGAAAAAAAATATTTTTCTCTAGAAGAATGAAGGTCAAAGTAGTTCTTAGAGTTAAAATGGATCAAAAGGGGAGTTAGAAAGAGAGGAAACTACGTAACAAAGAAAGCAAGGGCTGGACTTTTGGGGTGCTGGATGGTGTCCTTATGTAAAGGAAAGCAAAACTTAGGTGTTTCAGTTGGATTCTGGGGGCTGAAGCTGGTTGTTTCAGCTCAACAAAGATCAGACAAGCTATAGGTGTGTGTGTATATATATATATATATATACATATATACACATGTGATAAGCAAATTTTATTGTGAGCTATTTACATACATACCAACCCCAGTGCGATGAGTGCGGTGCATTCCCCAATCATTGGCTTCCTAGGGCAAGGAGTTGGCAGACCCACTGCTTGAACGGGTCTCCGCATTGAGGCAATGTTGGCCTCAGTAGCACATCTGCATCTCCTTCTGGAGAGTCCCGATTTTATCCCCTCCTACCTGGCAGCTATTCTGACACATGGGGCCAAAACATGTCCTAAGGGCTGCCAGGCTCCTCCTAGGTGTGGTATAAGCACCTCCTAGGTGTTGTGTAAGCATATCTACAAATGCACATGCGCACCATTTGAGTTAGGGGCTGCTCCAGCCCCACAGGAGTCACTACTTCATCCTTCATCATCTTTTTCTTCTGTCCTTTGGCCAACCTGTCCAACTGCAAAGGTCACGGGCATGAGCCAAGCCGCAAAGTTTCATCAGCTATGCAACATTTCCGCCAACATTGTCCCAAAAGCTTGGTTAGTTCCACATTTGTCTTCCTCTTTACCTTGCGTACATTCTCGGCAACCTATACCCGTGTATCACACGCTTAAGGACGAGCTGTTCCAAACAACATGATTATAATTATCAGGTCACCATGTTCTTGCATACTCAGGGAAATGTTTTTCAAAGATGGTCCAGAAAATGAGCCTAAACAAGAGTCAATTATTAGGAAAGATAGAAAGTGAGATAAGAATATGAATTACTGGATGAAGAGGATAGGCTGAGATTTCAGAGCAGATGGTTATTCCTACTTTTTCCTGTACTATGAAAAAGGTGTATCATATAGAAGTTTAATGGCTTTTTTACCTCAGTTTTCAGTAAAAAAAGTAAATTGTAATCAGGGAGCTAATAAAGCAAAACCTACAAACAAAGAATAAGATCTCTTTCTGAAATAGGAAAATAAATGGTCAGAGCAAACTTTGATAAGTGTTGCTAACTTAGCTGGAGTAGAAAGGGGTAAATGTCATGTGAAGATCCAGGAAAACAGAAAAAAGGCAAATAAAATTATTTTCTTGAAAAAGAATAAAAAGGAAGCCAGGAACTTGCATACTATAAATTTCACTTCAACACTTAGAAAAATAACGGATAAATAATAAATAATTTCTCCCGGGAAAGGCATTGTAGATAGGACCCCAACAATAGATGTCCAGTGCTTTTATCTCAGCAAGCCTTTTGATGCCGTCTCACAGCATTGCTCCTCGGTATGGGAGGGATATGTCCATAGGAACTGGATGATCTTTGAGGTCACTTCTGACCCAAGTCATCCTGTGATTCTATAATATGAGGTGTCCAAAACTTCTTTGGAAAGCATGAGGGGTGGGGGAAGTGAGTTTTATGGACGTTAATGCACGGATTATGCACATTAACACACGGATGTGTAAAATATGCCAGATGAGAGGCTCTGAAAGCGCTCTGATGACTATAAAAGGTGCTAATTTCAATTTTCTGACCAGTTAATGTTAGTTACCGTGCACCCCCCTCTAGCTTCGAGTGGTTTAGTATCAACACAGGCTCTCTGAGAAGGCTTTGGAGGGAAGAACTCTGTTTTAGGTAGCATTCAGGATGTTTATTAACGAGTTGGATGTTAGAATACACGTTGTGGACACTGTTTTTGCACCGAATCCCGTCAGGAAGCGAATCGCGCCCTCAGCGCGGGCAGCCCGCGGCTCCCTCCCCTCAGCCTCCCTGAGGGGCCCGTCACGGTCCTCCCGCGGGGGGCGTGGCCTGGGAAGAGGGGGCGTGGCCTCGGCGCCCCCGGGGGCGTGGCCAGATGGCGGCGCGCTCCCTTCACCCCCCTCCCCCTCCCGCCGCCTGTTCGCTGCTGGGCGGGTCCGGGTATCCCCGCTGCCCGCCTCTGTCGTCGCGGGCGAGTCCATCGCCTTCCGTAACGTGGGGGGGGACAGCCCGGCCCGGATACCGCATCCCGGGACGGTTCGGAAACGGGAGGAGCAGCGGAGGTAGCGGCGGCGGAACGGCGGCGGCCGGCGCCCTGCTGCAGAAGGGGTGACGGCTCGGGAGGGGGGAGCCGCGCGGACGAACCGGCTGTCCCCTCCCCCCCTCGCCCCCCCTACGTCCCGGCGGGGGATGGTGCGTCCCGCAGCGCGCGCCTTGCTCGCGCGGTTCGGCGGCGGGGGGAGGGGACGCGCCGTGAGGGAGACCCGGGCCCCGCAGGGCTCCTCACGGGGACGGCGCACCGGGGGGGGGTCGGGGGGGTGGCGCCGCCGCCGCCACCTCGGCGGTCCCGACGGCCGGCACCATGTCGGCGGACGAGGACGAGCTGAAAGTCCCGGAGGATCTGTTCAAAGACGTCAAGTTCTTCACCGTGGGGGACATCGACCCGAAGGTACCGTCTCCCCCCGCCTTTTCCTGTCACACCCCCCCCACATTTTATGAGGGGGGGGCAGAATGGAACCTTCCAGCCCCCCCCCCCCCAACCCCCCCCTTTCCCTTTGCGCGGGCTCGGGGCTCGCGCGCCGCACCCTGAGGGGAGGAGGGGGGGGGGCGCGCTCCCGCCTCCCCTCAGGCACCGTTGAGGGGGGGGGGGGGCGACCGTTAACGGCCGTTCCCGCCGCCGCCACCGCCATGGGAGCCTCGGGCCGGCGGCGCAGGCCCCGTAGCAGCCCTGTGAGGGGAGGAGGGGCGGGCAGAGGGATTTCCTGCGGGAGACGGGGCCGGGGCGGCGGGGGGAGCGGCGGGGACCCCCCCCCCGGGGCGCTCCGCACCGCCCGGCCGCCTCCCGTCAGCGCCCCGCCCGCCTCTTCCCCTTTCCCCTCACACCTCTCCCGCCCTGTGGTGTGAGGCTCCCGGCTCCCCTCGGCCTTGTGGGGTCGGGTTGTGCGGGAAATAAATAAAAAGTTTCCGTGTTTTGGCCGCTCGTGGTGCTTTGGGACCGCGGCGGGGTGGGAAGGGGTTCCACGGGGAAGTTAAAAGGGGTTTCTGCCCTGGGTGCTGTGCTCCAGTCGGTGCTGGGCACACGGGTCCTCCAGCTCCTGACCTGTTGAGTTGTTTTTTGTCCCCAAAACAACAGGGTTATACCTCAAAAACAGCCCCGCTCTGCACTTAAACAGGAAAAAAACACTAACCTGAAGTCCTCAGACATGAAATATTTGTAAATGTGTCTGAATAACAACTATCTAAAGCTATAGCAACAACATTATCATGTATATATAAAGATGACTGCAAATAACGACGGGGCTCTGGCAGATCAGTTTTTACGTAAATAGCATCCCAAAAGGCACCTCGTTAGGTTTGTGTTGACACAGCGAGGCAGTCAGCAGCACTGCCACGGAGCGAGTAACCAGGCTTTCCTTTCAGCAAGTTTTCACATGTGAAGTTTCATTCCTGTTTCATTCCTTGTAGCACTTAATGTCAGTGCCACGAGGCTCCAACTCGCTCTGATCACGCACACAAAATTCTCACCCATTTGCGGGTGGCTTTTCTGGGTTGCAGGTTGACTGTAGCCTGGGTAGTTTTATAAAAGTTGCAAGTATATTTGAAGTTTTTACTTCATTTTATACCAATGGATGCTAGGTTGGGTTTGGAAAGAGATCTCCTCCTTCATCTTTTAGGGATGGGTGCTCTTTTAGCAGCCTATTTCTAAATGTTTTTTCCAAAAACCAGTTATCTTAAATACTGGAACAGGCCTAGCACAAGCGAGCACTCTGATCAAAACAAATCCAAGAGTAAGAAAGAAAAAACCCAAAGCATAATATCTTCAGGTGAATAACAGCATACCCACTACCTTTTAAAACATACGCAGTAGAAACTAGAAGGGAAACAAAAGTCTGGAATCGTGCCTGGATGTTCTTTGGCAAATGAGGGAGAATTGGGCTGCTGGCACTTGTCTGAGCCCATTCCTCTGGGATGTGCACTTGGCTGTCCTCACCTGACGGAGGCGATAACTAGATGTCAGCTATTAGGATTATTTCTTTTAATAAATGCTTTTCCTGCTTTCCTAAAAGATGTAAAGCCAAACCGTTGAGCTTTGGTCAGACTGGTTAAAATCAATATCAAAGAAAGAGAAAATAACGCCTTGTAGCATGAGGACTTTGAGCAGGGTATTTGGCTTCTGGTTATCTCATTTTATTATTATTATTTTATGCCTGACTTCAAAGATTCAAACTCTTCCTGTTTCTTCTAACTCAAGATTTAGTGGGAGATAAGGAAGAGGGAATTTACATGCCCCAAAAATGGAGATTCTCTGAATGGCTTTAAGCTGGCGTCTGAAGTGCAGGACCATATTGAGGCTTGCCAGCGTTTTATTGCCTGGTTACAGCTGTAGGCATGCAAGCACTTACACAGGGAAGATCTTTCAGTACAACTTCACAGTTTTGCCACTACTTCAGCTGAAGAAGTCACGTGCTCTGGGAAGAGTTTTGAAGCTGACATAAGCCACGTTATTAAAAGTCTTTTCTGAACCACTTTAATCATGGGGCACTATCATTCATCACAGTTACGGTGTTTAGACTTAAACCTGATGCTAGCAGAACTTTTTGCATGAGCAACTCTTTGCAGCTTTGATTTGATATTAAAAAATCCTATTTCTGCTTCATTAGTTGCAACTTCTTCCTCATGCTGTCAGGTTGGGATGCACAGCTTTCATTCCAGTCTCCTCTTTTTAGTGTCCCCATAAATATAGACAGGCAAAGGGGATTTGGGGAGAGTTTTGCAGGACAGTGAGCTTGTGTCCTCTTCCTTGGGAATGTTTTTAAATTTCTACTATATATTCAAGCACTTTATTTTGATTTAATGTTTTCCATTGGACTTGCAGCACCGGTAATAAAGTTTTACCAGTAGTAAAACTACAAATGTCTCAATAATAAAAGGAAAGAGTAATCTTAATTGAAATTTTCAGCTTTGAACTCCAGATTTTTTTTGATCGTTTTTCCCTCTCTTCACCCTCCCAGCCTTCTGTGCTACTTTTATTGTCATACAATTGAGTCCCATTTAGTATGGGCTGGACTGGACTCATTGCACAGACCTCTACAATTGAGCTGGGAGAATGATAACATTTAAACCAACACTTTCTGTATTGGCCTTTCAAAAACAGGAACAAGATGTGTTTTGTAAGTGGTGAGAGGTTTTGCATTTTTTGATATTGAAATACTCTTAATCCTCTATCAATTCTTTTCCCAGTGCAGCAGCCCTTTGTTAGAAGTTGCCCCTTCTTAGGACAGTGTTTTTTTTTTTTTTTTTTGTTATTTGCAAATCTTTCTAATATCCATTTTTTTAAATGTGTGTTCACCTTTTTGCTTTTTTTCACCTGTTACTTCCATAGCTACTGACTTGGTTACTTTTCCTTTCTGTACTTTGCTCAACGTATATTCAAAGGCTTCTGAAGCTAACAACTGGAAAATCAAAGGCAAAGGAGAGGGGATTTCTTACTCTGCCTGACAAAAACTAAATTTTGAAGGAATATGTATTTTGGAAAAATGTAGAACATCCCAATTTCTATGCAAGCCTAAATTACTTCGGAAAGTAAACCTCCAGCTTCAGTCATTAAAATGCAGCAGTTGCAAACTGTTGGAAATCAAGATTTAAAAGGGATGCATTTGCCTACCACAAAAAGAGTGCTCTCTGCTTGTACAGAACGAGAAAGCTGTACTCGTTCCTCTAGACCACTAAAAAGTCTTCTCTCTTTATTGTTTTTCTCAAATAAAGGTGATAATAATCATTTGCTTCTCCTTTTTCTCTTTTGGGTTTAGGTTATTCAGCTTCTGAAGGCTGGGAAAGCCAAGGAGGTGTCTTACAATGCACTTGCTTCTCATATTATTTCGGAAGACGGGGACAATCCAGAAGTTGGAGAGTCTCGTGAAGTTTTCGATCTTCCAGTGGTAAAGGTGAGTGGCTCAGCCAGAACCTTGGTTAAGTACTGACATAGACACTTTGTTGTAACACAAAGTATTCCTCTCCAGATAATGTCCAAAGGAAATGTATCTTTAACATTTTTTATTCGTGTTTCATGAACTTTTATCCTGAGTTGTAGACATCTGTTACAAGTGGGTCCTCTCCTTTCTCTCTCTCATTACTCTGTATCTGTTATCTCTCCATATTTTGTTTGTTTTACTGTTGTGTGTGTGGTCCATTCCCTGTTTTTTTCTCCTGCCTGGCAGTTCCTCCTTCAGTCTTCTGTGACATCGTGGCCTGTTCAGGTTGACTTTAGAGATGTTTCTGGTGGGAAAGTTTACAGCTTTCTGGCAATGCAAAAAAAATAAGTTGTAAATATAAATATATTTTTTTTAATGTCTGTTTTTTTTTTTTTTTTAACACATAATTGGGAATCTACAGAATGGTTTACTGGATTCTGCTTATGTGTATGGTGTTAATTTTAAACAATAGAAGCTCTTAGAAAAATTACTTTTTCCCCTCTTTGTTTTATATTTTTCTGAAAATTGTTTGGTATTTTGTTTTTCCAGAGAGTTTACAGGCTTCATATTTGAAAATGTGAGCTTGTTGTTCTGCAAGTCATGAATGATTAAAAAAAATCATTATTATTTCTCTGCCAGTACATGGTTTTGGGTTATTGTGTCCATATGGTTGCAGGTGACAGTAGTGAATTCTGATGGCTTGTAGCATGGGAGTTCGTCTGGCAGTGTAGAAGTATGAATTAACAAATTCCCCAAAATTAAGGGTGCTTAGCTAGAGACCTTATGGTTATAGTGTGTGTGCTGATTAATTTTAAGCTGAGCTCCTATTTTTAATATCTACCCCTTAATAAAAGAGGTTTTGTGGCATAATTTCAGTCTTATAAACAAGAAGACTGCAGCCACTCTCGTGGGAAGGGAGGGCATCAGTGTCCTAGCAGTGCCTTCTGCTGTCAAATCCCTTTTACTTAAACAATTTAATTTTCTTTTGGAGCACTTCTAACTAAATTTTCTTTCATTTGCCAAAAAACAAAGACAGCAGGTCTTTCAGTGATGTCACTTAGTTGGACCTGAAAACATCACAGCATGATCTATAACCAAGAAGATTAGACTTATTATCGAGGGAGTGGGAGTTAGAGGCGAAGGTAGCTTGCTACAGAGAGAAAAGGGATGGAGAGTAAGGAAGAGAAAAATTTAAGGGAGAAAAATTTCACTTTTTTTTTTATGAAGTTGAATATTGAATCATTGTTTTTTAATACATTTTTTTTCTAAGGGAGAGAGAATAGCAGGAATTGGGGCACCATAAACATGGTTACCACAATATATGCATGTGTGTGTATATATGTTTATATGTATATATTTGTTTTTTGGAGGAAAAATTATGTCATATTGAATGTGATGTCATTCTTTCCCCCCTTTTTACTTCTAAACTGTATGAGACCCCTTTCTGTGTAAGGTTCCTCACTCCTTGGTCATGAGTGTAAGGCAGGGGATGTTGGCTGTTTTTTTTTTTGTTATTGTTTTGTTTTTTAGAGCAGGGAGAACTTAAAAAGGAGAGCATATGAATAAATACTGTAAATAGTGTTCAAGAAATTATAGAAGGACAAGAAAACTGTTCCCATATTACTGCATGATCTTTGAGAAGTCTTTCTTAACTTTTACAAATCAATCAGAATGGTTCTTTTGTTAGGCCTTAGTAAACTCTCTGTAAAACACTTACACTCTAAAGCTGAGAGAAGCGATGTAAATTCAAACTAGATGCAGTACAAACTTAGACATGACCTTGTATTTCATTCATGCAGGCAGTTTTTTTTAACATTTTACATTTCTTATTTTTCAGCCTTCCTGGGTGACTTTGTCTGTTCGCTGTGGAGCTCTTCTACCGTATCCTTTAAGTTCAAATTTGATAAAGTTTTGTAGGAAATGTGTTAAAATAGGTAGCATCCAGTCATTAAAGACGTATGTATGTGCATCTTACATTTTTAAAATGATAGGATGGGTGTTGCCTGCAAGGATCATAGCATGCTTGGGGCTTCTTTGTTTTACTTTGCTTTTCTTCTCCCTTGGGCTATTTTGGCTTCTTAAAAGGAACTTGCAAGAAAATTGTCATCAAATGGACTCAACCATTTTAGCTGGAAGTTGATAATTAACTGTGAGGATCCGGGAAAAATGCTGGAATGCAGTAAGGGGGCAAATGGTGGTTCTGAGTGGAATGGCCTATTTACTGCCTTTTTGAGAAACGAAACAGAGAAGAAGCACACAATAACTCATATCCATACTCTGTATTATAAATAACACTTTGTTAACAAATAGGGGGAGTATTCCTGTTACTGGAATAGTCTGTCCTTGCCTTTGGCAGACCCTTGTTGTTCATTCTATTCTGGTTAGATTTATGCTTAACTTGTTTGGAGCATGTATTCTGGCATATGGGTGGTGTAGTTCGTTTTACCATTTATTATGGTTTCATCTTAGTTTCAGTTTTTCTTTGGATCACAGGAATGATGACTGGCTGTTGTTATAGAAGGAACTCATGCATGTTTTCCCTCAGACCATTCATGATAAGGACTATGGAGATGGAGAAGCTGGAGCAGAGCAGTACGTTCCAGTACAGATACCAGCAGATGATTGCACTGAACAGTGCCAAGCCTAGGGAGGAATGCTCTCAGGCAGGAGATATCATTTCGGAAGGGTAGTGGGTGGTGGTGTCCATAATGGAAAACGAGGTGGTATAACCAAGAATCCAGGTGCTCATATTAGGGATTCAGGTGTCTCAGTCATTCATGTGTCTCAGTCATTTATGATTGGAGTTTTATGCTTAGTATTTCAAGGTATATGCCTTTGTATCTCACTGTGTCTTGTCTGTTTTGAAGATACACTGTATATTCTCTGCATCCCCAAGAGAATTAACCTCAGCGAGTGAGCTGTAGGAAAGGAAAGCATTGAATTAGAAAAAAATATATATTGAGGTCTTTACAGGTTTTTTGATTGATCAACATGTCAAGTAGGTTTCACCAGTTAGCACGAAACACTTGCCATAGTCATGGGAAATCAGCTGACCTAAGGAGAAGAAAGTATTTTGTAAATGACTTTGCTTCCAAATGGAAAAGATGCACCAAGCATTACATGTAAAAACCCTAATTAGCAGAACTACTGCATTAGAAATAAAGGGATTGTTGTGATGTGATACAGGCTGGTGATTTTTTGTGTTTTGTATTTAGAAATAATAAATACGTTTATCAGCCTACCCTTATCAGGATGGGAGCGTACAGTTGTTTATGTCACAGTTCTGTAAGCTCTGTTCTCCCTGTTCCTTAAGGCTGTTTTGGGGAGAAAAAAAAAAAAGAAAGAGAGAAAAGGAAAGCTTGGAATTAGCTACTTTTTCACACTTGTGTAATTGTTCTTCTTTCCCATAGAGAAGTTGCACAATTAGGAAATAAGTCTTCCATTTGGAACCAGGTGTCTGTAAAAGGGTGTTTTTAAAAGTCCTGATGTTATTATGTACTCAGAAGAGAAAGGAACAGATAAAAACTACGGAGCGATGCAGTCCATAACCAAATTGTAGCAGTAAATGTGGGAATGTAGCCCTGAATGGCTGTTGCTTAGGAAGTTTTATTGTGGTTATATATGAATGGCCAAAGGAAAAGCCCACGTCTCAGCCATATCATGTTCTTGGGGTGCATGGAAGGAGAGGGGTATGCACACCTGTCAGCAATAAATGCGTACTTGCACGTTTGCCTTTATTTCTGGCCCTTCATGTCTTTAGAACCTGGTGGTTTGGGATTATATCCAGAGCCTTATAGTGCTCAGTAAAATGGGCTGTTAAGTCTTAACATTGTTCTGTTTCAGTCTCTTTATGGCTTCTAGCGCGGTGGCATCCGGCCTTTCATTAGGGTTTTAGGTACTGCAATAATGGGAAAAAATGGAGTAGTTATTTTTGTTAGCTTTTTTCTGGTTGATGGCTTTTGGGCTCTGTTTTGGCAGAGCTTTGAGGTTCTGCACTTTAGTCTTCTGTTTGTGTTTTAATTCGAAGTTATACTCAGAATAGTGAATTTACTGAAGAAGCAAGTCCTAGAAATATCTTTTGTCAATTAAGTACGTGGATGCAGCAAGAGCAAAGACTTTGTTTGCATACCAATTTCAGTGCTTACTTCCTTGGCATTTGTCTATGTTGAAAAAGTTAATATAGGATAAAAGCCCAGTAATTTTGTCTGTTCCTTATAAATACATTTTAACATTCCACCCTAAAAGTTATTTTCACCAGGGGGGACTTGAGAAAGCAGAGTGCACTGTTCACTGTGAAGTGCTGTCAGCAAAATCTGGCTAAACTGCTGTTGAAGGGAAGTAACAGAAAAACTAATCTGGAAACAGACTTACTGGAGGAGAAGAAATTGCAGTCTTGTATGTGAAAACTTCAGTCATAATACCATAAAGAGGGCAGCAAAAGCACAAGTGAGGAAGGCTTATTCTTCCCTGGTCTTTACAGATGAAAGGAGCGGGGCGATCAGAGCATTTCTGGCTGTTACTGAGGGAAAAAATGAAGTGAGCTTTGTTGCATTCACTCTGTTTTGTTTTCCAGATCCACTTGGAACATTGTTTTGCTGCTTCTGACTATTCTAAGATGGTGCATTTAATTCCTGCTTTTAATGGACCTCTTACAAGTTAGGTACTGAGTTGTTGCTGCTCTAAGTGCTAGCAGCAGGTGCTAAGGCAAGGGGTGGGCAACCGTGCACTGCTGAAAGCTGCAGAGCTGAAACTGCCTGAGATGAAATACTGAGCTACATGGTGAGCCTCAGGGTGTTCTATGGACTTCTTGGGGTATTCTGGATAATCGCAGTAATCTGTTGATGTGTTCTGGGCTTTGTTGTCAGCTTTCTGTGTAGATCTCAAAGTTTAACTATTGCTGGTGCACCTGTTGACAGCATAGGGAGGGTAATTTTGTTTGCCTAGTCTCAGTATGCAGTTGCACCATAACATGATGCATGTCTGTTTCTGTAGTTGTTTTTTTTCTGAGGAATTAGGGGTTTTTCTTAAACACATAACAACATGGAAGTGTGGAAGAAGCAGAAAGGTCACAGAAGTCAGCTGGTCCATCTGTCTTTTCCATGTCACTTCTGTCAAACCACTCTCTCTTCTATTTCACAAGGCCCCCATAACAGAAACTTACTTCATATTCTTCCCCATTCACCTTCCAGTGCCTCACTGTTGTATTCCTAGAGTTTAGCCTCAATACCTTGCTGCTGTCTAACCCTGTTCTGCTTTATTTGAGACACCAGAGAATTCTCTTTTCATTCGGTAGCCTTTTATGGAGTTGGAGATGTTGTCTTAACTACTTAAGCCCATCAATTCTGTTTTTTTCAGTTTCTCTCATAAGTCATGTTTACTAGGTCTGTAGAAAAAATATTCTCATTGCTCTTTTCACATACTGCTTCATTTGTACATCTCTTTCAAGCATCTGAAAACAAACATGCATTGCTGTCAGAGATCTTGTTGAGTGTTGAAAGTATGGTGGAAAACTTCACATTAATTTCAGGCTGCGTTTCTGCTTTTACATCCCAGTGCGATTTTTTTTTTTTTTCAGTTTGTGATTCACAGTAGCTCCTAGATTGTTTTTTTTTTTTTTTCCCCTTCGAATCTGTTGCTTGGCCAACTTTCTATCCAGTGTTATACCTTGGTAGGAAAAAAATTAGCTGCAGATTTGATATTTTCTTTTAGTGACCTGCCTGCTAGTATTCTCAGATAATCTCTCTAAAACTTAACAGGTGTTCAACCTTAAATTTTACAGTTGTTTTCTGGAATTTCTTGTGTACCATGTTCATTCTATTTTGTCCGTTGCTGACTATAACAAAACTTTCTTCCCTGGATTCTCCTGTACTTCTAGGTTTGGAAGATAAGCACTGACTGATAACAGAAGGAAGCTATTGATAAAGGATTGACTCCTAAACTTTACTTAGAATCAGAGAATCATTCAGGTTAGAAAAGACCTCTAAGATCATCAGGTCCAACCTTTAACCTATACTACCGTGTCCCCAAGCTCTACATCTACAGGTATTTTGAAGCCCTCCAGGGATGGTGACTCAACCACTTCCCTGGGCAGCCTGTTCCAATACTTCACAGACCTTTCAGTGACAAAATTTTTCCTGTTATCCCACCTAAACCCCAACCTACTTTCTGTGTTCAGCATCCTGGGATAGGTGAAGATGTTCTAGGAAGAGAAAAGTTTGTAATGTTAACCAAAATTGGTCATAATGGCTTAGGTGTCCTGATCTACATAAAAATGCTTTTTATTTTTTTTTTCCTGGTACGTAGAACTTGAATTGTAAATAAAACACATGCTTTTAAAAATAAAAGGTTTTGAATGGTCAAATACTTGATAATACCAGAGAGGTACTATGCACAATAGTTAATTTTCTTCCAGTATCCCTCAGGAAACTTTTCTCTTTAGCTTATTTTGCATCCTTGACACCTGCTTTTCAGCGTAAATGGCTTCTCTCCAGAATCATGTCAGGTCTTTTTTGGAGTCACTGCTTGTCTCTCTCAGGTAAGAAGTGAACTGTATTTCAGTCTACCCCAGAGTACGAACTGTGTGATGCTTTGTTTTTCTGAGGACAGTTTTTCTGTTGTGACTTTTTTTTCCTTGTGTGTTAGGTGAATTATCACCTAAAACAGCTTTTCACTGGAAAATAGTTTTTTTTTTTCACTGAAAATGAAGACTCAAACTTGATTGAAATTTGAATCAACAATATATCTTGAATTTATTTATCACCAGCAGCATGGTGATTCTAAAATGCAGAGTACAGTAGAGTATGAAATCTTTGCTCCTTGTTTTTAGTTTCTGTATTAACAATATTCAGTGAATGCGCTGTTCCTGCTTACGCACTGAAAAATTAACAGGGGTGTCAGTGAGTAAAATAAGTGGAAATTGCTTCAGTGGTTTGTGTTTGTTCACGGTTCTGTAGATCTGGGAGTAGTCTGATTGTGTGTTTGTGTGCAGATGGACAGGATCAGGACCTAGGTGCCAGTGGTGTGTATGTGTGCTTTATACCTCTTAAATTATTCTGTAATGCTGTGATTAAATCTGAATGTTAATGGCTTAAACGCACGTGGCTTTCTTGGCAGGGCTGAACACGAGTTGTTAGAAATAACAACACTTGATGTGTTTACGTAGGCTATTAATTTGGTCTGCTTGTTAAAATTCTATTGAATGAATCTAAACAGGTTGCCTAAGGTAATGAATAAATCTTGTTTGCTTGATCATTAACTTCTTCCGGTGAAAGGTGATGTCCTAGTGTTGAGTTTTACAGAAGTGAAGGACATTTGCCTTTCTATGCAGGTTAAAATGATTGTTCAATGTCTTTTTGTTGTCTTTGTCACCCTTTTTTTCCTGTAACTTTCACGTTAATTCGGTACTTGGAGGTGCTGGGTAATGTATTAGCCAGATTTCCAAGTGCAATGTCAGGAATTGTACTAAAATTCTTGGAGTGGAGGCAGCTTGTTAACAGAAGTAAGAGACCTATTTACTTTCCTCTTAGGTTTCATCTGAAGACCGAAACACGCTGTGGGCTTTGATTACTTTTTATGGAGGGAATTGCCAGCTGAACCTAAATAAGAAGTGTACTCATTTGATTGTGCCTGAGCCGAAAGGGGTAAGAGTTTATTATGTGTACAGTTCTTCCTGGTGTAGCCCTCATTTTCCTTTGAATAATCAAAAATGTTCCTTCTCTGTGAAGTTAAGATCCTTAAGCTTGTTTGTTAGACTTGAACAGTTAAATTCACCACAATTATGCATTGCAGCTAATCAGTTGGTATTTATTTTCTGCATGGCTTTAAGCCTCATTAATTCAAAATATGTCCAATTTCAGGTTGTTATTTGTATGTCTGGTTGAATAAAGCGTGTTCTTTATTCTGTTTGTCCTAAACTAATTTGACATACCATAATCATGAATGATTGTGGTTTGTTTATCTGTAGCTAGAATCAGGGAAGAAAAATGAAAGCAACATAATTTAAAAATTGAGTGAAATGCCTTAGATGTTACATGGGGAAGGGAATTAAAGATAACTCGCAAGTCCCTCAACACTTCCCTCTTAAAGAGAGATGGTAGGATAAACGTGCACAGCATTCTTGCACAAGTTCTGATTGATAAAGTAGTCACGCTTCAAAACACTCGCTTTTAGGAAATCAAATGTTGCTGTCTTTCTACAAACAGAGAAACTGAATCAGAAAGCTGAGGTAGCTGGCTGAAGGCAGCACTGAGCCTCTAAGAACAGGCTTCTGTACTGTATTGGCTCAGGTTATAATAGTACTAAAACTTCCTGTTGTGTTCAGATAGTCAACTTCCTGAAGAAGAAATACATTTGCAATTGGATTAGTCTGTTTTTACCACTTAAATTTAAGCTCACTTAAATATAAGCTTACTTAACAAAAATTTGCTTGGATTTTTCTGGTTAATGCAGTGGATGCAGCGAGTTTTTGGTTTTGCTTTGTATTTTCTTTTTTGTCCTTTAATAGCACGAGAGCATTTTAAATTGTTTGACCGAGTAGCTCTAAGATCTACATAATGCCTCCCTAGATCGATATGTAAAACTTTGTCAAGTTTCCAATATTATTTCATGCAAACTTAATGTGTTACTGTTTCGCCAACAACCCTTCTAGTATTTCTAAGCTAATGTAAACCATCTAATATTAAGATAGAGAAAAACATATGGCTAGTGGGATGTCATTAAATTCATGTGTGGAATATGTAGGAAAGTGCTTTAGAATAAATCTTGGGCTGGTATTGGGAGAAGAGAAAGTTGCCTGTACAGTGAAGGCATGCTTTTCATTGCTTGTTTCATTTAAAACTTTAAATAAGAGCTTATTTATTTTTAACTCTGTGATTTTTTGTCTGTAGAAGCTAAAGGGATGTACTGAACCATCCTAGTTGTCGTCTCTGCCACAACAAAATGTAATGCTTGATTGAAGAGCTTTGCTAACTAAGATGCAATTTTAATAGGCAATAGTATGATTTAAGGCAACACTTCTTCAATGTATAAGCTTTTTAGAACAAAGGGTACTGTCTTAAGTTTGCCACTTGAATGGAAGAAAACACACTAGTATTTAATGTCTTTAGGATGAAATAAATATCTTGTTTAATTTCCATAATCATTGAACAGGGACAGATTTATAGGATGATTACTTAAAATGCATCTGTGCCTGCTGTTCCGACATAATACTACAAAGGAACCTGCAGCAGTTTGTAATGAGAAGAGTTTTGACACTAGTGAAAACTGAAATGATTGCTTTGACTAAACGCAAGATGATAAAACAAGATTCTTAATAATTCTCGCCACAAAAAAAAGAATGAAAATTCATATCTGCAAATAAACTTGGTTTCGTCTGTAATCACTTTATTGTGTATGAATGACAGTTTCATTGTAGGAAATAACTCCAGAGAATCATTAAATGAAATTAATTTCCTCTGAATGCTCTGGTTGTTAATTTATATTGTCTGACATACAAAGAAAATCCCAGCTCAATCGCTCTCAAATATTGGATCCTGAAATTAGTTTCAAATCTTATGCTGAAAGTTTTTTCACTGTTTTGATATTTGTGAGGAGTTTGTATCAAAGAAGACATTAGAATAAATGAAACGTTCAACCTGTGTGTACTTCTGCTCAGTTAGGAAAGGAAATAGTGAAGTTCCCCTATTTCTACACATCATTAAATGGTGAAATGGTAACGGGGAAGGGAGGGATAAAATTTTCTACCTTGTCAATATCATAACCTCTCAGTGAAATGGATTTAGCTAATATGAAATGTAACTTTCATGTTGAGGGCAACATCAGGGTTTGCAACTTCTGGGAAGGTGTATGGGAAGTACCCTGCTGTTTTCTGCTATATATTCCTGCTGAAATTCATTCTTTCAGCGATCATCTCTTAAATATTCATCTCTGCTTTATTGTGAAATTCCCATTTTCCCTGAATGCTTTTTCATGATGTTTTATACTTCAGTGGAGCAAACATGAGTGTATTTAGCCTCACCTTAATGTCTACTTTGAGAGCAGCTGCATCTGAGAATTTACTATGACACTCCTGCTGGTGTTCTGAAAACTTTCTCAAGACCAAATATCTTTTTGAATCCTAAGTTTTAGAAGAACTTGAGTAATGGTGTTTTGGAAGCGAAGACTCTGTCTTCTGCATTTGTGTCTTCTGAGTGCATTGTATGGTAAATGTGGATCTTTTTTGTTTAAATCAATTTGAACCTGTGGTGCCAATAGCGTGGTCTGTCCTGCTGGTTCTGGAAGAGAGCAATTTGTCATTGAACAGTCTTTTGTGATCTGTTTGTCCATGCTCTAGTCAAGCCCCTCCAAAAGCTAGAGTGCTGTGTTTTTTGTTTGTTCTTTGTTTTTGTTTTTAAATTGAATGTTTTCATCTTTTTTCTTTTCCCCAGGAGAAATACGAATGTGCTTGTAAACATGATGTCATTAAAATTGTGACACCTGACTGGGTCCTGGATTCTGTAGCTGATAAGTCTCGAAAAGAAGAGACTCCGTATCATCCTCGCTTAATTATATACGAGGAGGAAGAAGAGGAGGAGGAGGAAGAGGAGGAAGAAGCAGAAAATGAAGAGCAAGATTCTCAAAATGAAGCCAGTACTGATGAAAAATTATCCAGCCCAGCATCTTCTCGAGAAGGGTCACCTTTGGGTGATCAAGTTTTCTCACCAAAATCTACTACTGCTGATAAGGCAAAAGGGGAACTGATGTTTGATGATTCTTCAGATTCTTCTCCGGAAAAGCAAGAGAGGAATTTGAATTGGACGCCAGCTGAAGTTCCCCAGGCATCCACAGCAAAGCGTAGGTTGCCTCAAGGGAAAGACTCCGGGTTAATTAATTTATGTGCCAATGTCCCGCCAGTGCCAGGGAATATCTTGCCTCCGGATATGAGAGGCAATTTGATGGCTTCGGTCCAAGGTGCCCAAAGTTCTGATCGACAAGAAATGATGGCTGCGTGGAGCCCAGCGGTGCGGACGTTAAGGAATATTACTAATAGTGCTGATATTCAGCAGATTAATAGACCGTCAAATGTAGCACATGTAAGTGTTGGATTTTTCATTTATAAGATTGGACTTTTTATTAGGAACTAATGTGTCCGAGAATTTAAGTTTCCTTTTATTGTCCTCTGAATGTGCAAAGGATTAAAAGTTTTCTGCATTACTTAGATGTAGCCAAATTGGTAACCTCCTAATAATAAGTGACTTCATTCCTAGCAGGTTCACAGAAGTAATGCATGTGGAAAAAATGTTAAGAGTAAAGCCATGTTTCACTGTAGCTTGGTTTAGAGTTTTGTGGTATTCCGGTATTGATTTCTTTATAAGAGGGGGAAAAATGATTAATTTAAAGTAATTTGGCTAGTGCAGAAAACCTGATTACATAGTCTTCAAGCTTTATACTCAGTGCAAGGAATTATTAGTGGTATAAACACACCTAACTGTAAAGTGGATTGTGCTCCCAGAAGGGTCAGTTCTATCCTGTTCTGTTCAGCTGGGCATCATTAAGTTGTGGTACAGCATAGTCAGGACTGTGATGCAGAAGTCTGAACTTACAACTTTTTATGCCAGTCATAGTTGACATAATTGTAGCTTTTATATTGAATTTATTTTTAGCAGAGACTAAAAATCAAGAGTGTGCACTGACATAACTTGCAGCATTAAAATCCTAAGAGGTTTATGGGAAGGGAGTGTGTGTGAGAGAAGTAGGTGCTGGTAAATGTTAGACACAACTTTTGTTTAGATGACACCAAACTTGGAGGAGTTGTGGACTCGAATGAGGGTGGAAAGGCCTTGCAGAGGGATCTGGATAGGTTGGAGAGCTGGGCGATCGCCAACCGCATGAAGTTCAATAAGAGCAAGTGCCGGGTCCTGCACCTGGGACGGGGAAACCCTGGCTGCACGTACAGACTGGGCGATGAGACGCTGGAGAGCAGCCTAGAAGAGAGGGATCTGGGGGTCGTGGTAGACAACAAGTTGAATATGAGCCGGCAGTGTGCCCTGGCAGCCAGGAGGGCCAACCGTGTCCTGGGGTGCATCAAGCACGGCATCGCTAGTAGGTCAAGGGAGGTGATTGTCCCGCTCTACTCTGCGCTGGTGCGGCCTCACCTCGAGTACTGTGTGCAGTTCTGGGCACCACAGTATAAAAAGGACATGAAACTGTTGGAGAGTGTCCAGAGGAGGGCTACGAAGATGGTGAAAGGCCTGGAGGGGAAGACGTACGAGGAACGGCTGAGGGCACTGGGCCTGTTCAGCCTGGAGAAGAGGAGGCTAAGGGGAGACCTCATCGCAGTCTACAACTTCCTCGTAAGGGGGTGTCGAGAGGCAGGAGACCTTTTCTCCATTAACACCAGCGACAGGACCCGCGGGAATGGAGTTAAGCTGAGGCAGGGGAAGTTTAGGCTGGACATCAGGAAGGGGTTCTTCACAGAGAGAGTGGTTGCACACTGGAACAGGCTCCCCAGGGAAGTGGTCACTGCACCGAGCCTGACTGAATTTAAGAAGAGATTGGACTGTGCACTTAGTCACATGGTCTGAACTTTTGGGTAGACCTGTGCGGTGTCAAGAGTTGGACTTGATGATCCTTAAGGGTCCCTTCCAACTCAGGATATTCTATGATTCTATGATTCTATGATAATTACACTGGGGCATTTATTTGGATGTTCACCTGAAGGTAAAACCTTCAAAGGTGCTTGTACTCAGTACAAGCTTACAGCAAGTACTCTAAAGAAACACAAAAAGCAGAGTCGGTTGGATTTCTTGGTTCTTTGTTTCCTATATCAAAAGGAAATGCTGGCTTCCTTTTGAAACTGAGTCTTAGGTTCCTCTTCTCAGTGCCTTGAACTGTTGAAAGACTGAAACTTTGGGGTAAGGAATGAGCAGAATAGCCAAAACCCTGACTGGCTGGCCAGTGCTTTCATGCCTAAACGTCACATCACCCACAACCTAGTTGTTGCACTATAAAATCCTCTTTAGTGGCCTTGTATGGAAGTATTTTTGCATAAGTACTATTTATAGAGGTGCAAGGCAGTTGATGCAGGTGCTTTGGTTAGGCTTGGTTCTCTGGACTCAGAGAAGGGACTGACGGTAGTGTACAAGGACTGTTTTCAAGCACCCTATCCAGCTGCTGTGTGAGTTGCAGTGCTTGCTCCAGCATTTGGAGCTTTGCATCTCACAGCTGTGGATCTACCTCCTGGAGGGAGAAATGCTACTTCCACAGTTTTTTCTTTTAACTTCTCTCTGGCTGGGTTAAGCTGCATTTTGGATCCTGCTTGGGTACCAGTCCTGGGTGGGTTCTGTGTCTTAGTGTACAGTTTTTGAAAGTTGAACCAGAAATCTCTAGTGAATGGCACAGTCTGCAGTAATAAGGCGTTTGCAGCTGCAGAGATACTTTGTGAATATAGCCCTAGGATACTTCTGAAAGTTTTATCCCATTGTTTTGAAGTACCTGTCCTGAAATTCCTGTAATTTTGACTTTTGGGACGCACAACAACAATCTCTCCTAATACTGAGCCACAGGAACGTTCTTTGTGTCTGTTAATTTTTCATTATTGAATGTTTATACTCTGTTTATACTTAAGATCAATGATGGGTGATGCGTTGGTAATCATGGCTGTAATGTATGCTGTACCAACAACATCAGAGTTGCATAAATGCAACCTGAGATGTTTGGAAGTGCACTGTAAGAACTTGAGTGACCTCCGATGAAGATCTGAGGGACATCTGATGTGAGGAGGATACAGATAGTTAGCTTTGGGTCTTAGTGTCCACTCTGTGAATTATACACCAAAAAATGAAATGAAATTCCAGGTTACTTCAGCACTGAGCATAAACAAAAGCTATTATTCTTCTCAAAAACTTAGTGCTGAGCTGTATGTTGGGATTCAGTTCTAAAAATGGGACTGTATATCCCTGGATTAGGTCAAGAGAATGAAAAGTTGAATTCAGCTCCCATATTTCAAACAGTACTAATTAATGGAGGCGTTATTAGCAATATTTAAGTGAAAGAAAACAAGGCTGCGGATCTAAACTTTGAAGTTGGTGTGCCAGCAGGGATGTAAAATGAGTATGGCAGTTGATTGAGTTGATTGATACAATTACTGATGCAGTGTTAACAGTCATGATGCTATTTGAACGAATTACCAAGAATACAGGGATGGGTTTAAGTCTTAAATTTGTTAAAATGTGTATTGCATTTAATTAGACATGTAGCTCAATGCTTTTCTGTGTGCACGTCCTGTCTTTTCACTTTGAAAAAGCTATTAGCACTTGAGGATTTGCATTGAGCTCAGCAAATATTTAAGCATAAGTTTCTTTTCTTTTAAGAGAGAGATTTTCCCAGTAGTTGTTTAAATATTTTTAAAACTGAATGACAACAAAAAGATTACAAAACTAATCTTTGTTTTCTAGATATTACAATCACTTTCAGCACCTACAAAAAGTTTAGAACAACAAGTAAATCATAGCCAACAGGGACATCCAAACGCGGTGCTGTTTAGCCAAGTGAAACTAACACCAGAGACACATTTGTTACAGCAGACACATCAAGCACAGCAGCAACAGCACCATCCTCTTTTACATCTTCAACCTCAGCAACTTATGCAGCTACAACAGCAGCAGCAGCAGCAACCCCAGATCTCCCAGCAGTCCTTCCAGCAGCAACAGACTCACCAGTTTCCGCAGCAGCAGCAGCAGGTTCATCAGCAGCATCAGTTCGCACAGCAGCAGCTTCAGTTTCCGCAGCAGCAGTTGCATGCCCAGCAGCAGCTCCACCGTCCTCAACAGCAGCTCCAGTTCCAACAGCAGCATGCTTTGCAACAGCAACTTCATCAGCTGCAGCAGCAGCAGCTCCAGCAGCAACAGTTGCAGCAGCTACAGCAACAGAACCTCCAGCAACAACAGCTGCAGCATCAGCAGCAGCAAATGCAGCAGCAGCAATTGCAGCAGCAGCACCTACAGAGGTTACACCAACAGCATCAGCAACAGCAAATGCAGAACCAGGCAGCACAACACTTAACTCAGACATCTCAAGCACTACAGCACCAGGTTGCAACCCAGCAGCAGCAACACCACCACCAGCAACAGACACAACTGCAACAGCAGCCGCTCTTTGGGCATGATCCTGCAGTAGAAAGTTAGTAGTACTGCTTCTGATCCTGGAGAAAATCTCTAATGACATGGCAGGATTTGGGTTAGAACATCAAAAAGTAGTGCTGTGTTTACAGTATGTTATTGGAGGACTTCAAAACTCCATTCATAGCTCAGGACCTGTTTTGCTAAGTTTTATGCTGACAGGTGTAAGCTATAAATAAGGTGTCCAGAAATCTGAAAAGCATGAGAGCACTGAAAACTTTTTCTTTTCAAATGTATGCTTTGTGCTACTAGCATATAAGTTATGCTGTGGAAATGTTAGTCTCTGCATGGCATAGTTTTGTGTTTTTTTTTTTTTTTTTTCCTCTTTGAAAGAAAGAAAAGGGTAGGCTTTAAGAGGGGATAACAACTGTAAAGGTAGGTTAAATTCTGGAAATAATAGTAAATTAATGAGGAGGGTTCAGTATCAGATAGCGATTGTCATAGTTGACTTTGAATTCTGCTCGTTCTAGTAGAACTGAAAGCTTTTTGACTATTTTGACTATTCCTAGATGATCTATGTAAAGGAGCGTGTGTCCTGTGATTTCCTTTGGTGTCCCTTTCTCCTACCCCTTTACCCAGCTCTTCCTCCAGCAAAACAAAAGCAAATAACAAAAAAAGACCCCAGGTTCCCCACAAATAGTGGTCCAAACTGTGCCTTTAGACATCGCTGTCAGCTTCGAGATTTTGGATCCCGTTTTCTCCAAGAAAAAGCTAGCTTCAAAATTAAATGTGCTTTATAATTTGGTAATAGTGAAGATGAGTGTAGTGAATATGTTTTGAAATGAACCTTTCAGAGCTTTAAGTTTTTAATTTTCTTCTCCTTTATGTGCCAAACTATTCCAGTTCCAGAAGAATATTTCCTGCTGGGCTGTGTCTTTGCGATTGCTGATTACCCAGAACAAATGTCTGATAAACAGCTGCTAGCGACCTGGAAACGGGTAAGATTCTGCTGTATTTCCAAAAAACGATGATAACCTTACTCTCACAGTAACTAAATCCTAAAAGGAACAATTGGAAGTATTGTTCACTTTTCTTTAGGTATCATTTTGTTTAATGTTTATATTATGACTAGGGAAAAAAAGAAACGTTACTCAACTAAGGCTGACTAGAAAAAGTAGTAAATGCTTCAGACATGCAGCCAGGTTGAATTAGGTCTTTAGCCAGAACATTAACTAAAAAAGCTGTAACATTAAGTGTTTCCCAACTATTTATGCTTTTAATTAGGCAACAGTAGTACAGCAAATGTAATACAGCATTGCTTTCTATCTTTAACTTAATTGTATTAAAAGACTGTTTTTTGCATAGAATTTTGGCGTTTAGTAGGCTGTGAGGTATCCACCTGAGTGAATAAGATGAAGGAATAGAGTGTTTCTATTTTTTGCCAACTTCTATTTTTCAGAAAAATCTGATTGTATCCTTTCCTAAATGAGAGGACTTTGATGTTCTTCAGAAACTTCTGATGGATTTTATAGTTGAATTTTCCCAACAATTTTGCATAATCAAGTAAGCTGTTGACATTTTTAACAGCACTTGTGTTTATTGCTGAGATAGAATTGAATGGTTTATGAGAAATTGTTTAATAGTTATACTGCAAAAATAAAAAACAAGGTTATTTTTGTTTACATATCTTTATTTTTTTTTTCTTGCATCTTAAAAAGTTACACTTTTTGTGGTTCAATGAAAAGGTGCATACTTAATTTTGTTTTCTTCTTTTTTTTTTTTTCCCCAAAAATTCTTAAGCTACATAACAAACCTTTTTTTTTTGGGGGGGTAACTCTTCAGTGAAATGGTACAGTCTCCTAAACAGTAGACGTTGATTTCAGACTGTTTGTTTCTTAGGGTAGTTTTATAATTGTTACATATATTAGAAGCTTTAATTTGGTTCTCTTACCAGATCATTCAAGCACATGGTGGGACAGTGGACCCTACACTTACAAGCAGATGCACACATCTTCTCTGTGAAAGCCAAGTCAGTAACATGTATGCTCAGGTAAGCAAACCACTAATGTATTCATGCATGCTTTCATTGCCTTACTGGAAAGGTAAGGTTTTTTTTCTGCAATACTCCATGCTTTGATTATAAAATGTTTTTTTTTCCACTATGTGCTTTTAAAATCATTTGTAGTTTACAGTACAAGAGACTTTCATAATATGTTTCATAATTCATGTAGTAGATTTATCCCAGAGAACACTAAGGAAGATGCTGTCAGAAACAGGATCATGAAAATGTTGAGGAGGAGCAAACAATCATTAAAACAGAAGCTCTGTATTCTAGAAAGTCTAAAATAAAATAAAGATGTTTTTCAGTTTTAAAAATCTGTGCATGTCTTCATAGGCTTTAAGAGAAAGGAAGAGGTGCATAACGGCACATTGGCTGAACTCAATCTTGAAGAAGAAGAAAATGGTACCACCTCATCGAGCCCTTCACTTCCCAGTGGCATTTCCACCAGGAGGAAAGCCATGCTCTCAACATGTAAGGAAAAAACTTATTTCTAAAGAATGTTTGTTTCTTTACATGAGCAATATTAAAACATAGCTGGAAAGTACTTACCTAAAGCAAAATGCATATTTCTTTTGTCAACTGAAGAAGAGCTTCTCTTAATCTTAAAGCCCTGTGTTGGTATGGGGCATACTACCAGGTGGTTCAGAGTGCTTTGCAAGTCTTGCTGAATTCTGAGAGGTAAATATTAAACTAAACTAAACTAAATATTATTAGTTTGGTTATTATTCTCTTAAAGAAACCGAGGTAAAAATGAGTACTCAAGACATGAGTTATCTATAACAATATGATGGGAATCCAAGCCTTTTATTTCTTAAAAGCACGTCTAATATTTTATACTTATTTACACTAACACAATATCTTGAGGGTTTTTTTTGAGTATTTTTTTTATTTTTCTCAGTCAATACCTACCAAAGTTTGGACCAGATGATCTTAGAGGCCTTTTCCAACCGAAATGATTTTATGAAATACCAGAGAAGGAACCTTGTTCTGTTAGTCAGAAAAAAGGAGGTCACAGTTCCAGTAATCTGTGTTTTGGCATGTAATGAGGAGAGCTGGGAAAGTGGAAAGCTGTGGGGTGAAAAAATAAACTTGAAGCTGAATGAGACGTGTCTTGATTGAAATACAATGCAACATAAAACAAGATGCCAAACTATGTCTTGGCACTGGATCTTTGTCTTGAGTGCAGGCGTAACAGATGACAGCCTTAGTATCAGCCTTTTCTTAAAGACATGAAAAGAAACAGGGTTGGTGAAAATAGACTGTAACAGTATGCATGTGAACACAGTGGTTAACGTAGTTTATTATTAACAACAAAATCACAGTTGTTGTTTTTTAAATAAAAGGAAAGAACAGTGAAAATGAAAACTTTGTGAGACTGAGGATAAGAAAGGAAGATAATAGAATTACCATTTTGCTACCTGTGATCAGCTGGTACAGTTTATTCAGCTTCATGGCAGGTTAGAGCAGAGCACTTTTTAAAATTTTTAAATTTTTAAAAGGAGAGTAGGGGAAGTAAGTGTAAACATTTGCAACAATATAAACAGCAGCAGAAGAAAGGTTAAAGATGTATGGGAAGAAAACTAGATGGGAGCTTTTTCATAGTAAGACTTTGTAAATAGCAAAGAGTTGACCAGCAGAATGAAAATAGTTCAGACTTGGGAAGAATCAGTGCCAGAAATGTGTAATTTAAATATAAACAAACCAGTCTCTGTAGTTTGCATATCCTATAAGCCATGTTATGTATCCTACAGTGCCTGTGTACCATAGCTAAGATGCTCTATGTTTCATAGTCATGTAAGAGAAAATTGTTTTCAACAGGAGCACTTAGTAAATGCTATCTACTTTCAGTTATACCTATGTCTTTCTTTTTGTAGATAATCTCTGTGACAGGATTTGTTGATAGTGACAGAGATGACCTCAAACTAATGGCTTACCTAGCAGGTGCTAAGTACACGGGCTATCTGTGCCGCAGCAACACAGTTCTCATCTGCAAAGAGTAAGTGGTTTATCTCCACGGTGCTCACGTTCTCAGCTGCCTGTTGCCACTTAGTGTGTTTCTCAATGTGGAGTGCTCGTTACATCTCATTAAGAATGTTTAATCATTTTTGCGATTTGATAGCATTAAACTTTATGATGTTGTTTATTGAGCTAAATTACTGCACACTTACGTCTTAAATTTGGCCTACTGAAGACAGGCAAAAGAGAAGTCATTGCTTGTTTCACTCTTTGAGATTAGTAAGTGATACTGACTGCTGTATCATCTGTAAAATCTCTTGGGGTGGGGAAGGAGTAATTGTTTTTAAAATTAATTAAAATTGAATTAAATCCAGGTCTAATCTGATTCCATTTGGACTCAAGTTTTACCTGAATTGACTTTGCTTGTGCTAGCACAGAGGGCAAAAGTTTTTTCTGAGTATTTTATTTCTCTATCACAGTTAACAGCAATTAGACCAACACAGAAATACTGGTATTTAGAGTTTCTTAGTATAAATGCTATTTTACCTGTTTTATCAAATATTTTTTTCCTCATCTCTGAATATTAAGACCCAGTGGCTTGAAGTATGAGAAAGCCAAAGAGTGGAGAATACCCTGTGTAAATGCACAATGGCTCTGTGACATCCTGCTAGGAAACTTTGAAGCTTTACGGCAGATACAGCACAGCCGCTATACAGTATTCAGTCTTCAAGATCCACTTTCTCCTAGTCAACATCTAGTTCTCAACCTTCTGGGTAAGAATTCCAGTCCCTAAATCCTGTGTTCTGTAGCACGTATGTAGCACATATGTAGCACATATGTAGCACATATGTAGCACATATGTTTAATCAATAGAAGCGTGTGTGTTCTGTCATAAATAATTCTGCAGTGGTTTCACTTCTGTTGTATTCTTCACTTCCTAGATTCTTGGAGAGTTCCACTGAAGGTATCACCAGAACTTCTAATGGTATGTTGAATTCTGTACTGCTCTTTTTGTCAGATTACTGCTTAGTGTTTCTAATGGTTGAGCACGTGTGCCATATGGTGTGCACAACATACCAGAGGGGATACACACAGACCATCCATGTGCTTCAGGCTAATGTTCTATAAATCTGAGAAATAATATTTTACAGAACTAATAAACTGCATGATATTATATCAAGTTTCTTTTGAGAGATCTTCGGATTGTGCGTCACTCTTTGATTTTAAAGAAACAGACCATATAATGTTTTTAAGGTATAAAGCACTCAAAATCAGAAATAAGTTTGTTAGAATCTTGGCTACAATTTTAAATAGAATAGGTAACACAACTTAAGGGTTGAGAGTACTTTGTACTTCACCTCAGTCCATTTGTATACTCTTCAGAAAACAAAAGCTTAATAAATCTCATAACTTAATGTTCAGATCCAATTTAGAAGTATTAGTACAATGTAATTGTTTAATGATGCAGCTTCAGAAGTAGCAATCCCTTACCATGACCTGAAGTTCAAAACGATCTTCTTTCTATAGACCCCTGTGAAATTGTCATAGTCTCTTAGGTGCTTTTTTAAAACAAAATAACAACAAAAAGTTTTGTGAATGTCATATTTCCTTGAAGAAGGATGCATTGTATTAGTGGTCCACAAATACTTGAAGAGATTTTGTATGTACTATTATTAGTAGTATTTAAAATAGCTTTTTCACTAGCTCATTTTTGGATTTGTTACCTCCAGCCCTTGAGCTTACAGTGTTTGAGCTCATCTTAAAATTGGGCATCTGCATTTTTACTGTGGTCCAGTCAGACTAGTGATGGTCTGTTTTTTTTGTTTACACAGCAAACGCAGAGAACTAAGGCATCAGAAAGCTTAATTTAAGTACCTCCCGTTCAATATTTACTATATAGGAACCTTTCTTTTCCATGTGTATTTAGAATTTTGTAATTTAGATTGGAAGAGACCTCTGAAGTTAATATTGTCCAGCTTCCTACGGGACACCTACATACGAACAAGGTGATTTGGTAACAGAAAACACTGGGCATGTGAAAGGGTCAGATGAGGTACTTCACTGCCTTCTACAGCAGACAGTTCTTTCCATCCTGAGATTTAAAGTTTGGGGTCCTCATGTGAGGACATCTGTCTGTCAGATGGTGTTGATGCAATTTACTTTTTGCATTTTCATAGTGTAGTTGGAACATCTGTCAAGAAGAAAGTGCTTGAGCTTTTCTTGCCAGCTGCTTTTACTAGTGATTGTCTAGCATAAGACTACAGGTTTCTGAGAGTGGGGAGCAAACCCCCATGGGGGACTGAGCTAGTACAGAGGGAGGAAGGAGTGCCTATGCAGCGCATACCCGAGCATCCACTGGAGCTTCTGTTTCTGTAAATAGGGAACTTGAGGTTTTAAAATACAGGTGCTGCTATTTTCTGTTGATAGAAAATATTTCTGTTGATATATAAGTTCCTGGAAGACTACTGTAGCCTTCATGTATTTAACAAATACACAGGGTTTTCAGTCTCATTTATTTATTTGGTTTTTCAAATAATGGTAATCAGCTTTATTTAAAAGGGGGAAAAATGTTTGGCATTCAGTTAAATGGTTGTATAACTTTGTGGAGAAGCTTTGGTTAGTGCTCAGCTTTGCTATTGAGTCAGCTGTGTAAGCAGTCACTGCACCAGTACACATTTGGCAGTACATCCTTCTCATTTGTGTATTTTTCAAAGTATAGTCTTAGAACATTGGTGCACAGTTGTCCTGCTTTAAAGTCAAAATAGGGTTCTAGGCTCAATTCAGATGTAAACATGTAGATGCTCTAATTTCAGGGTGTGAGGTTGCCTTTGAAACCAAAGCAAAATGAACCCAGTCTTCAGCCATCTTCCAAAAGAGCACGGTAAGAACAGTCAGTGCCAACAGTCCTTAATTTACCTTTCCACAGAACTGTCAGCTGCACATCAGCCTGGTTCCATCCTGTACACTGCTAATTGCAGTAACTAGCAAGATTTTTTGCATATTGCCAGCTACTCAAGTGGCAGGAATAGAAGAATGAGAATGGAGTAGTAAGAGAACACGGAGAGAACAGAATTGGGAGAAAATGTTCTGTTCTCAGCATAACAGTTTTTCATCCAGAAGACTGATCCTGCCTAATTCTCATTCATCTGAGCATTTTTATTGCTAAAAGTTGCAGAGAGTGAGTTTATCTGCTTTTAAAAAAATGACTTCTGGCCCAAACTTCACATTCTGCTGTATTTCACATATCTTGTAGGATTGAAGACCTACCGCCACCTACTAAAAAGCTCACCCCAGAATTGACACCGATGGTACTCTTCACAGGATTTGAGCCTATGCAAGTTCAACAGTACATCAAGGTGACTTTTTTTTTTTCACTTAACCTCATGTGAACTACATGGATTTTTTTTTATTTTTTATTTTATTTTTTCATGGACATTGAGTTCTTACAAAGTAAGACTTGATTAGCCTGTATCTAATAGGATGGATAAAAACCTACACTTACTGGGGCTGAGATCAGTCATTTATGTGGACTGAGTTTTATTTGGTAACTGTTCTGCTGTAGTGTACTTCCTGTTTCTCTGCTACTGTTCTTTGTTCCGTAAGATGGTTTTAAAAGGCAAAGAGGCCCCTTACACATTTTTTTTTTTTAATAAGTGAACTTCATGGCCAAATTTAGGTGAGGAAAGTAGTGATTGTTGTGCTGGGTAAGACTCAAGCTGCTTCAAGTGTTATTTATTATCTGTTGTTATCTGTGATGCCAAATGTTTTGAAGGAAGTTGATGACAAAGCTTATGGCAGGCATGAGATAATGCATTCCCAGGGAGATTCTGTTCCCTAATAAATCTCTCCCAGAACTTACCTCTAAATAATTTATAACATTCTTTTAACGATATAAAAATCCAGTCATTCCTTGAACCTTAATAAGTGCTAAATATTTGGTCAAAAAGAAGAAATTCTCATTTATTTGTCGCATATCGGCTGAGGTTTGTGGCACACTGTTACTGTCCGTTTTTTTAACTGCTGACTTCAGTAGGGCATGAAAGATCCTGCCACTTGTGCCTACTCCAGTTAATCGAAAGTAAAGGAGGACTAGTTTGGGTCTACTATGCTTCTTAGGAACATGCATCACTTAGGCATTCTCCAAATAACCTAATTTCTTTATTATACCTAGGGTTGTTTTTAAAGTAGTTGGAATCTGTAGTCTTTTTCCCTTAAAATGTTTGCATTTCAAGCTTGATTTTTAATATTTTGAAATATAAATTATTTTTCTGTATATCTCAGTAAAGTTCCAGTGACAGCTCCTTATTTTGTCACGTTGGTACCAGGTTTATTATACGAAGAATCAAAGAATCTGATTTTATTACAGCTATGGCTCACAAGCACATAAATAAATTTCAGCCTCAAGTCTTGTGAATTTGAACCAAACTTATCTGTGATGATACCATTAAGATTTTTCAGAGCTTGAATACCTTACTGGGGCTGGATACTTCCCATTTTCTTGAGCTGGAGGGGTAGTCTCTTCTGTATATCCAAAGGGCTCCTTAAGCATTAGAGTAGAAATCTTACAAGATCTGCGCTCATAGCAATACAGTGTTTGAGGTGAACATGTGTTAAGGATGAAAATAATAGCTTTTGCCTTTTGTAGGTGTACAAGTTTAGTATTCACAATGTGTTTATGCATACTCTTCAGGAGATAAACAGTGAAGAGGTTCAGTGTCACGGAATAGTGCTTTTGTGTATCACCTTGATGCAAACCAGCATTTAACCAGCACAGTAAGAAAGAACTGAAAATGTTGTCCCTATGTATCCTACTTCTTCATTGTTCCCAGAGCAGTGGTGTACAGAGGGAAGCCGGAGATCTTCCTGGGCTTCTAATACACGCAGTAGGCCTCTTGCTTTGGTGACTCCAGATGACTGCTGTACTAAAAACACCGCAGTGTGTTAAATATTTATGCTTTAAAATAGTTCTTTCTGATTTTTAATTTATTCAAACAAAATACTTATAAAATCAGTAATCTTTAACGCATAGATAATGAAGGTGGACACCTTCACTAAAGTACTTTTGGATGTTTTCATTGTTAGATTTTTTTATCAGAGGAAGCACTCTAATTCCTTCTGTAATTTGATATGCCTTACCAGTTGATCAGTTGTGTTACTAATCCTGTCAGATAATGATTTGTATCTTAGTTGACAAGCTGCCAACTGTGATGAGACAGTTTGGGTAGGGTAGTTTAAACCTAGAAAAAAACGATAGTTAATACCATCTAAAATGCATAGGGAACAATGCATGGAGAACTAATGTATTTAAAAAATATATGTTCTTCAAAGAAAAAATATTATCATGAAAAAAAGAGTAGCAAAATTAAGTTTACCATAGCTACAGTATATATTATATCTTCCGTAGAGGAAAAGAGCAAAAATTTCAAATTTTCTGCCTATTTAGGCTTAATAGCATGTTTCAGTTCAAAAACAAAACAAAACAAAACAACAACAAAAAACTGATTTGTATCTTAGGGTTATTTTATTGTTTAAAAAAATAAAGCTGCAGACTCAGAATGTAGCTCTCACTCTAGCCAGATAGGTGTCTGGAAACACCTGGGTTTTCCATGGCAGTAAATTCTGCCTTTTAATCAGCTTTAATAAAGGAATTACTGTAATACGAAACTCTCCTATGTTTACTATTTCATTGGGAGCTTAATTTTAAACTGTTATCATTCCACTTTTTTTTTTTCTTACAATTTGTAAAGGACTGTTTCATTCTGATCTGTATTTTGCATAACTTTCAGAAACTGTATATCCTGGGAGGCGAAGTAGCAGAATCAGCCCAGAAATGCACCCACCTCGTTGCCAGTAAAGTGACCCGCACTGTCAAGTTCCTGACAGCAATTTCTGTAGTCAAGCACATAGTCACTCCAGAGTGGTTAGAAGAGTGCTTCAAATGCCAGAAGTTTGTTGGTAAGTTGAACTGGTACCTACAATAAACTTAAGGCTGGTTGATTTAGGTGTGTGAATATAGCCTAAGTATTGCTTTGACTTCAATTTTCATGTCTCTTGCCAGTTTTCTAAAGAATTCAGTTTTACAAAACACAGATTTTAAAGTCTGCAGCAAGTCTGACCTCTATAGTTCATAACCCAGGGAGAATTAAGTATAAAGTTTAAACAATTACTCTAGCAGATAGCCTTCTACCACAAATGAAATACAAACTATGTTGGCATGGTTAAATAAAGCTGTCACAAGAAGAAATGATGTATACATTTTCACTAAGTTCTTGTTCCTCTGTAACATTATGTTGCACATAATTTTCATTTGATTTTTTGATTTAATCCAGTTTCTTTCCATTAAGGAAAGTAAAGCAGTATCTTTTTTTTTTTTTTTTTTAGAGTGGTTAATAAATAGTTGGATATTGTTAAGCAGTCTGTCTTTCTGATGTAGCCATTTATAGATCTTATCTGTGATTACTTTTTAAGCCCCAAATGTTTTTGCTTTCAGTAATTCTTCTGAAATGTAAATTGTAAAGAAATAAGCCACTGTTGGAAATGCATACAAGAATTCATTTAAATAATAAAACAAATTAATTTAGCTCTGCAACTGTGTTGGAATATATCAACTTTATTTTTGCACTTTTCTGTTGACAGTTGAAAATAACAAAATAGATGGTTTAGGTTGATTTGACAAGGAAGCTGTGTCTGAAGAAAATCTTTTTAAAGGCTGATTACTTGTTTTATGATTGTTTTATGCTTTTTATGTAATTTGTTTGAAAGGAGCAAACTAAATTGCTGCCTAACCATCACAAAGATTTAAATCAGTGGATAATTAACCAATAAATTAGCAAACATTTTTATTAATCTGGAGACGGCAACGTGCTTGGTTCAGCATCAGTGAACTGAAAAATCAATCCATTTGAAAGCTATTAGCAGATAAATAAAGCCTGGGGATTTATAAGAACGACTGTTTTGATCTAGTACTTGAAATACTTCACTTGTCTACCGAAATTTAGTAGATCTGTAGTTAATAGGCTGCCTTCACTTTTATACATGGTGCAACGATGGAAAACACAGCAATTGTTTGGAAGAATCATCCCATTGATGACCTATTTTTTTTTATAGAAAATTACAAATACCATCTCTTGCAAGTTATCAAAATTGTGTTTGGGAAGATGAGTTCTCCGTACAATATATCTTTTTCTCCTTAAACTTAGATGCTTTGAGCTAAATCTAATTTGGAAATATTTTTAACCTGCCTTTTTGTGAAACAGCGAAGCTAAGGCCAAAATCCCATCCCAAATTAAAAAGAAAGTCAGCTGAGTAACAGGAAAAAGGGAAATAGGTTGAAAGTTTGCTCTGTTAATGCTGCGTGAGGGCTTAGTGACAGTTTCTGGGTAAGTTGCACCAGTAAGTTAGAAAAGGAGACTTTATGGGACAGTGGCTGTTGCTGGATACGCAATTGTAAAACACAATTTATTCTCCAAGTAATGGTGGGTCATCCTCACAAGGAGCCTAACAGAAGGGGTACTATCATTATGTAAAACTTATGTTCACCACTGTGGTCAATCCACTACCAGTGTCTTCTAATCAGAGTAGCTCCTATATTATGCTGCTGGTTTTGTCTTTCTGGTCTTAACATTTTTTGTGTTTTTCAGACGAGCAGAACTTCGTGCTGCGGGATGCTGAAGCTGAGGTGCTTTTCTGCTTTAGTTTAGAAGAGTCCCTAAAGAGAGCACAAGTGGCTCCACTGTTCAAGGTACACAGTTTAAGAAGGGCATTTAAATGCTTGAAGCTTTTCAACCTACTTTTTTCAGCACTGGGACAGCAACAGCTTTTGTAGCTCAGGACAATAAAACAGTCTAGCATATAACACGTCATATTTGTTACAAATTCTGGTTTTGTCTTAATGCATATTTTCTACATAAGCATTTTTGCATCTGAGTGACTGGATCCTGTACCTGGTAACAAAATATGCTCAGTGTATAAAACCAGTATTTGTTCTTTTACAAAATGCCACTTACAGAGAGCACTCTTTTTTTTTTTTTCCACTCTGAATGTCCTGGTGTTTGAAGAACTTGCCTCAAAAAATGGGAGCTGAGAGTGTGCATTTCAGCCTCAGGAAGTTTAACTCTGATTTTCCTTGAATAGTGCACTTAGCACCAGGCAGTTTGCTAGGATCGTGCGTGGTCGTTTTCATGCCTCCGATTGAATTTATGCCGCTTTGCGGAGAGATATGTGAAAATATAAGTTGCTAGAGATTCTTCAGCCTAATTGAATTAGAGTCTTTCTGAGGCAAACCACCTAAAAATGTATTTTCACAGCCGTTAATGAATAGGCATCTTTGTGTTTTATTAAATCTAAGTGTTACATTTCACTCATTTTTACAGTCTAGCAAGTCTTGCAGTTTAGCAAGAACTTTTTTATACCTAGCTGCTAAACACAGAGATAATCTACTTTGTGATCTGTTCACCTATATCAGTCTCAATCAAGTAGCATTCTTTTTGGTCACGAGGTAATGTATGTAATTAATGTATTATGATGTTAATTTAAAAAATGAAAGCTTTAATTAAAAGAACTAAAAGCTTTTTTTGCAGCCCTCTAGGCATCCCTATACTTGAAGAAGCATTATTGTTCTTGCATGTCTTGCCAAGTTGCAGTTAATATATATGTGTATATATATATTTTAATTGTAGTTTAACCAATGGTCATTTGATGGTTTCGTGGTTGTTATTTTAAGGGTTATGAAATAGGCATACCCAAATTAGTCAAATTTATCAAAATTGCAGATTTATCCCTCCAGGGAAAGCAGATCAGTGGTAATTACAGACAGCTCATCAACTGTTGGACTTCTTGCTATAGGCCACTATAAATTGTTTCCATGATTGCATGAGTCACGCAAAAATTAAATGTACTACTGAAATCAGTTAAGAAAATAAGGCTTTCTTATTCTTTTGTTTCTCTTTTTAGGGAAAATTCTTCTACATTACACCTGGTATTTGTCCCAGTCTTTCCACCATGAAAGCTATTGTGGAATGTGCAGGAGGAAAAGTGTTATCTAAACAGCCTTCTTTTCGAAAACTCATGGAGCATAAGCAGAATAAAGTACGTACAGTGTTGCTTTCTGAAACTTACTAATAATATCTTGCTGTATTACTCTGAGCTTACAATTACTTTCTTTCATTTAGAGTTTGCCAGAGATAATCTTGATTTCCTGTGAAAATGACCTTCACTTATGTCGAGAGTATTTTGCTAGAGGCATAGGTATGTATAAGCAATTGATGTAATTTGAACAGTATTGAATATTTTTCTATTATTTTACAAGTTCAGATGCCTGTTGAACATTTCAGGTACTAGTAGAGGGGTATGTGTTTGATCCTGCATGGAGAAGTCTGAGGCAGCATTTTCCTAGGTGTTTGTAGTAGGGATATTTTCCAGCCAGGTCAGCACAAATCTCTGGTGGTGGGCTTGAGCTTGGGGTTTTGGCACTGGATGATGCAAGATTAATTCTCATTATTTATCAGCTTAGTTAAAGATCTGTTTTTTTATTTTATTTTTTTTTCCACTTCAACTGCTTTTACTTCATTGTAGAGCCCACAAACATACTGTGTTCACTAACAAAAGGGTACAACTGGGAAGCCTGATAATGTGGCATGAAGTGTGGGATGGCTAACAGCAGGGCAGTGGTAGTGGTAGGACCATATTCTGCACAAAGAGCAGAAAGGTACTGAATGGCACCTCTTAATGCATCTGCAGAAGGAAGAACGTCTTCATATGGTGTAAACTATGTATGTTTTCAATATTTCCAGATGTCCACAATGCCGAGTTTGTCCTGACCGGAGTACTTACTCAAACACTGGATTATGAATCATATCCTTTTTTTTGTAAAGGCTATCAGCTGCCTAAGGAAATGTGATTTACTACAAAATTTCCTGAATTAGGAGCTAACTACTTACTGTTTTTTGGTATGTATAATGTTAACTTGATAAGAAAGTAGCTGAAACCCAGAAAACTAGTTTAATTTCAAAGCAGAATTACTTTTTGATTTGAAAAATAAATAATGCTTCAGTGGAGGGGGGATTCAGGGTCACCAGAAAGTACCGGGAGAAGAATATTAAGCAATGGGGGGAAAAAGACTGTCACGAAGGAAAATGTCACATGTGATTTGCATATGACAAAAACAGCTTTTAACTGGTTGATAAATGCAGTGTAGGACCAGTAAGGGTTCTATGTCTTTATGGGTGTGTTTTATAAAAGTTTCTTAATGTTGTTCTTCCTTAACAAGCATACATATAAATTTACTTGATGGATAGTAAAATGCCTTACTGCTTCGGAGTCCTTGGAGCATTAAATCTAGCTGTTCAGCCATTGTACAAAGTAACTAAAACTTCCTGTGGATGCTGTTTTCCAGCTGTTTACCTAAGGATGAAGAGCAGTTTAAAGCAGGAAAGCAAAAATCAACTGCATCTTTTTTAGGATGTGTAATTTTATTATGAGGAAACATAATTTACTATGTTTTGTATGATACTACCCTTTTAAAAGAGCCCACTTTAGGTATCATGATTAGCCAGTTTTTAAACATTTTAGCATAAATGATGGTACTTCAGCCAAAAGTGTAATTTGGATGTAAAAATAAAAGGGCTTGCTGTCTATTAAATTATGGATGTTGAAGATGAAAATGTTTTGTACTTTATTTTTATTTCTTATACTCTATTTTCTTTTATATTGATATTTTGCCCACATTTTAAATAAATGTACTTTTAAATGTTTTACTCTATATTTTAGTGGTGGTTCATTCTTTTTGAATAATGTGCAACAATGGCACTCTGGTAAGAGTAAATTACTCAAATCTTTTTCCAAGCAATGTAAAATTATTTTAAGCTTATTTTACCAGGTATGTTTTAATATATAAAAATCCCAGTGCTTTATAAGGGAAGTTGTTGTAAGTGTGTAAGTGTGTTTTTACTTAAACAAAGGAATAGCTTGAAGGCAGGAGAAACTATAACCTCACATATTATGCTGTTGTGATAAGTTTTGTTTGTATAGCGAGTTTTACTAAATAAATATTAAAAAATCAGTTTCCCCCATCTATATTCAGTTGTTTTTCGTAATACACACACAGTTCTCATAATCTGACTTTACGTTTCGACCAGTTTAGATTCTAGTAGATGAAAAGTCACACTAAAAACGTTTCTTCTTTGATCAGCAAGCCATTAAACTTTAGTGGGGGTGTGCAGATATTCACTTGTCTGCATAGTATCAAGTGTATCATATCACCTCGTGAACCATTCAAAGAACGATTCAAAATGAAGGATAAAAAATACTTTAAACAACAGCTTATCACACTTTTTTCTAGCATTTTGTATTTCTATGCAGAACTATTTTGCAGGGAAGATTTTTCAAACAGTCGCATTAAACTGAGATAAGGAGCTATTTTTAGCTTATGCAAAGCTTTCTACAGAGAAGTTATTAATTTCAAATCTCATTTGTGTTATGGCTTAAAATGTAAATCCACCTGATATTTGACCACTGTTTCTGTTGCCTTTTTTCCCCATGCCTCAGTTCAACAAGGTGCTTAAGCAAATGACAGATTCAAGCTGTAGGAACACAGTGAGTGTAAATTTCAAGATGAGTGAAGTCCCGCAGAGGTCAGTACTGTGCCTGTTGCCTGTTAGTGCTGGCTCTGGCTTCCTCAGCTATCCTCATTTACTCCTGCATTCGCCATTTCTATTGTAAGCAGTAAGGGGCTACATAATAACAGCAATTTCAATCCCCATGACCTTTGGTAAGGTGACAAAATGTAGTAAATGAGATTTTCATACTTTGGCTTAAGATGTTTTTAGATGCGTTGGTGGTTAAAAAGGTGTAGTGCAGGGTGGGAGGAAACAGTACTTTTTCCCAAATGCCATTTATTTGTAACTGCAGAGCTATGTTTCCTCAGTGTGATGTTCAGCTATCCATAACTGCTTCCTTTTCATTATGAGATTAAGAAAAATCTCAAATGTGGAGACCTGAGGATGGAAGCTGATATTTTTTTTTACACTTCTTTAAAAAAAAAAAAAAAAAAAAAAAAAGGAAAGATGGAATGCAGTGGGAGTTCTATTAGCTGATGAGCTGTGTATATAACTTAAAACATTCAGACACATATGGCTGTTATGCCCTCTTTACTGTCAGTTGAGGGGGAGCATACCTCTAAAACCTAATTTAATTAAAGACCTCTGCAGAGATCACTTCTCTTAACAGTTTAGCAAGTTAGCTTGGTTATCCACACCTTTTAAAGAATATTAAAAATACGTGAGATGAACTGTACCCTAAAAAAATTCAACAATGCAGTGCATACACACTATTATTTTATTGGAGAAAAAGGTATACTTTCTTGTCTTCAAATACATTTCAGAATGTGTAATACTGAATTAACGTAAATCTGTGTTAATCTCTGTATGGCTTGAGACTTTCTTCATTATACTGATTACCAGCGTGCAGAAAGTTTTTGGTGCCTTTTCCTTTAAAAACAGGTATCAGCTGTTGTAGCTTTTGAACTTTGGAAATGTTGTGATACACAAAACTTCTTACCTTGAATAAACACTTTTTACTTGTCAAGCATTCAGCATATCTCCTGTGTATCTTGCAAACAATGGATTGCCATATCCAGTGTAAATGCTGGTTTGAGAAAGAGTTGAATATGATGCATACAATGAGTTGGCAGGGATGTTTAACTGTGAGTAGGATCGATCACAAGGCATACAACTTTGCACCACTGGTTTCGAGAAGCTAACAAGACCTGCTAAGACAGCTCTTGGCAGAATGAAACATTTCACTGAGGGGAAGAAAGGCGGAGAGAAACCAGATTTGAACGTGTTAGAAGTTTCTGTCTGGGCAACATAAGCTGCTAGACTCCATTAGGCACTTACCCCTCAGTAATGATTCTCACCTTTTTTGGGATTAACTTGCACATTTTCCACAATCAAGGAGTGTGGAGGATACATAGCACCTTTGCCAAAGCCTACTACAGTTAAGAGACGTGTGAATGCAATAGCATCTGAAAGGTAAATTTCCTTTTTATGAGAACTATCCAAAATGCTGTCAGATACTGCATAGTGAAGCTTGGAGAAAAGCAAATGCAATCATGGAACAAATGAACCCTGTGGGAAACATAAGTGGTAACGCATCTGTTTCATCATCAGTGGAGACAGTGTGTTTATTTAGCCAACATACAAGTATGACTGATTTGATTAACCTTTCAATTAGAGTAAAAAACAGAACCTGCCAAGAAAAAGTCTTTCAAGAACCACAGGAGCTGTCCAGAGCCAACTGGCTTGCACAGATGTTACTGTGCCTGTGATTAGTTGGTAGAGGAAGGGTTTGATGAAGTGTTCTGATACTAGGTTGCTGTTATGAACTCGCTTTTCCTTTAGTGGAAGATTATAATGCTCAAGTGTCCTTGTTGATCCTGCCTCCTTTACATCTTAGAGGAAAAAACAAACAAAAAAAGCAAGAACAAACAAAAAATGTCAACAAAAACCTTGCAGAAACATTGCTTGCAGAAACATTAGGTCTACAACATAAGCTTTTTTTTTTTTCAGTAGTTTTTTGTTTTTTGTAGAAAACCTTTGTTGATATATCAGTTATTTAAATGTAAATAGGTGTGAAACATGGTTTTGATAGCAGAGACATTCCCTCAGTTTAGATGGACGTTAGAAAGATTTGTTCTCCACTCACCATCCTGCAGCTTTCCTTGCCGTCTGTCATGAGGTGGAATTGTGGAACACAACCATAGAGGTCAGGCTGGAAGAGACCTGTGAAGGTCCGGTCAATATTTTAAGGATGGAGATTCCACAACCTCTGTGGGCATCCAATTTCTGTCTTTTGCTACTGCCAAGGTAATAAATAAAACCATCCTCATACCTAATCCGACTGTCCAGTGTTCTATGAGTCCCTCTCATTCCGTGCCTGTGCATCTCGAAGAGTTTGTCTTCTTTCCACCCTGTAGTTGTGGACAGCAGTAAGCCAGTCTGTTCTTCAAGGCTGAGCAGACCCCTCCCAGCAGCCCAGGCTGCCCCCAGCCCCATCCAGCCTGGCCTTGGGCACTGCCAGGGATGGGGCAGCCACAGCTCCTCTGGGCAGCCTGGGACAGGGCCTCACCACCCTCTGAGTGAAGGATTTCCTGCTAATATCAAATCTAAACCCACCCTCTTTCAGTTTAAAGCCATTCCCCCTTGTCCTATCCCTACACCCCCTGCCCAAGAGTCCCTCCCCAGCTCTCCTGCAGCCCCCTTCAGGCCCTGGCAGGCCGCTGTGAGGTCTCCCTGGAGCCTTCTCCTCTCCAGGCTGAACAACCCCAACTCCCTCAGCCTGGCTCCACAGCAGAGGTGCTCCAGCCTCTGAGCATCCTCGTGGCCTCCTCTGGACTCACCCCAATAGCTTCCTGTCCTTCTGTTGGGGGCCCCAGAGCTGAGCTCAGGCTCCAGGTCCGAGGTCAGACTCGAGGACACGGTTGGCTTTCTGGGCTGCAGGCACAAGTTGCTGGCTCATGTCGAGCTTCTCATCCACCAGCACCCCCAGGTCCTTCTCCTCAGGGCTGCTCCCAATCCATTCTCTGCTCAGCCTGGATTTGGGTTTGAGATTGCCTCAGCCCAGGTGCAGGACCTTACACTTGGCCTTGTAGAACCTCGTGAAGTTTGCCCAGGCCTACCTCAGGCCTGTCCAGGTCCCTTTGCATCCGTCTCTTCCCTCCATTATGTTGACCATCCTGAGTGTGACCATCCAGCCAGTTCCTTACCCATCCCGTGCTCCATCCATCACATCCACGTGGCTCCCATTTAGAGATGAGGATATCACAGGGGACAGTGTCAAATGCTTTGCACAACCCCAGGTCAATGATGTTGGTTGCTCTTCCCCTATCCACCACTGCTGTAACCCCACTGTAGAAGTCTACCACATGCTACCCCAATCACTGTGACCTGTCAAAGATCATCAAAAGGGGCCTTACAGAGACAGCAGCTGTCACCTTCAGATGTGTCCTATAAATGTATGTAGGACCAACTAGCTTAAGTTGGCTTCTTCTGTGGGTAGTGCAGTGTCCCCAAGCACTCTGCTGGTAGTCCCAAGAGCCCAGGAGGTCTCAGGTGAACTCATAATCTGTGAAATGAGTAAAAAGGCACTGGGCACCTCAGTCTTTTTCATGTATTTTCAACACCTTGCCACGTCAAGCAGCAGACTTTCTTCTTTCTCCTTTCCCTTTTTACCACTGATGCTTTTACAGAAGCCTTTCATGCTGCCCTTCACATCTCCTACTGGTTTCAACTCAGGCTGAGCTACTCCTGAATAAAAATTAACTGCACAGCTCAAGACGTGTAAAACAGTCGAGGGGAGCAGACGAGCACCGTGGCGGATGTGCTTGGGAAGGTTGTGGAAGTTTGCTCTTTATGCAGCTGCACTGTTAAAAGATTCATCAGACGTTTTCTAAGCACAGTTTAGTTGGTTTATCACACCTCGGGGCAAGAAGACAAGAAGACAGCTCTGTTGATGCTTATATATTTTATGTTCGAAAAGCACGTTGACTTAACAGGAGGTTGGGCTGATACGTGTAGGAGTTTCCTTTTTTATGGAGGGGAATTGTGGTTCAGAGAGAAGTTAGCCCTGGGAGCAGTGAGGCAGAGGATGAAGTACAGGTTAGCTAAATTCAAAGTCCGCATCTTGACAGTCAGTCAAAACTCATTCCCTTTCTCCTTTCTTCTGCCTTTCTGTGCTGCCTGCAGGAAGAGGAAAGGAAAGAAGTAGCCAAGCAGCAGAGCTGAGGCATGGCTACAGAAGAAACAGAGAGCACATGAAAAGCTGAGGCTCACTGCACAGAGCACTAATATGTACAAACTACTCAAGGGTTTAATTTTAAGTACGTTTTCTTAAAATTGCTATGGAATAGTGGTACTGAATATAACAATGTTAATAAGGACATTGCAGGTGTTTGTCCCTACCTTCAGGGCTGTGAGACCAAGTGAGGCTCTCCCCAATATGATGCCAACATCGTTACTGGGCTGCCTGGCCAGGATTTTGGGAAAAAGTTTTCTCTGAAATGCAGCAGGCTCCTCTCAAGGGAAGGGCACGCTTGAGGAGCTCCGCAGCGGGATAGAGGCACACTCCCTGGAGGAAGCCAAGTGGAGAGAGGCTGTTTGAGCCCTCAGGAGATGTTTGGAGCTCTGCCAAGGGAATTTTAGCCAACAGAATATGTAGCCAGACAGTTGTGGAGAGTGAGTGAAGCTTGGAAAGATGCTCCCACCCTTGTCAGTAAGGTCCTCAAGCAGTGTTTTGTCAGAAGGATGCCCTGCTGTGTCTACCAGGGAGAAAGCACAGTGATCTGGGGACACTCCAGATCAAGTACAACTTTGGATGTGTCTGCCTAGTACATCTCCTCACAGTGAGCTACCTTTTAAGCTGAAAAGGCCAGATTTTATAAGCATATCAAATACGGCACTTTTGAATGAAGCAGCTCCATCAAAGAGGAGGGAGATAAAACAGAGCTTTATGGCTATGACCTACGATCCTTGTCTTCCATGCAAAGAGGCTTTGAGAGAGAAGATTTTGAGACTTTGAGAGGGAAGACAGAGAGAAATGGCTTTGTCAGCAAAGCTCTGCATTTCAGCTCAGTGAAGCCAGCAGCCTTCCAGCCTGGAGCAGAAGGACGAGGTGCTCAGAGCGATGCCAACCAGGAGAGCGGGTGAGGGCAGCTAGCTTCTTCTCTGAAGAAACACGTGAGCACTTCAAACCTACTCAGAACCATCTGTGTTCTGCTTGAGAGGTAAATGCCATTTGAAGCAAAAAACAAAATAATAATAATTAAATAAATTGTACTTTCAAAAAAAAGTAATGTATTTGTTCTGCTGCCTCTGATCAGTCCCTAATACCTGTGGGATGCTGCTTGCAGCACGAAGAGCAGCTCTCATTTCTGCCTGTGCTCTTCCTCCTGGCCTCACGTGAGCATGGGGGCATGGCATGGTTTTGGGAAGGAAATTAAGTGGTTTGGCCCTGAGCAAGCCCTCTGGTGTGTATGTGCAGGCTGGAGAAGCACCTCACCATGAACGTCCCCCTGTGCCTCTTGTTCACAGCTCCTCTGTCGCGGTCAGCAGAGACCGATGTGGCTTCATTTCCTGGCCTGCTGTGCCAAGAGGATTTTATTGCAAACTCCATCTCCACTTCCCTGCAACAGACGATATAATAAAGTCCCGTTATTAAAAAAAGTATCTCTCTCAATCTTGAAGGCAGAAGATAAGTAGAAGAAAGCAGCGTAACTGTTGTTAACTGCTCTGGTTGGCTTTGCTCTAAGGTGGAAAAACACACGAAATGCAGACCCATGAAATGCAAGCTCCGTCTTGTTTTGCAAATAGCCATCCCTTCCAATTTGTGGTGAAATGCCAATATAACAAGCTTGGAAGCCCTGTTATTGCTGTGACAACCCAGAAGTGCAAGGGAAAGCTTTGCTAGCAGAGCGAGGATCTTCTTGGGGTAGCTGCGACGGGTGGGGGCCAAGCTATGGGACACACGTATATCTGGAGGAAGGTCTTGGCGATTGAAAGCTCCTCTTTTATCTAGTGGCACCAGCTGGTTTA